AATACCTCCTCGTCCCCTTCATTATCACTAATGTATGTGACTTCGTTTATCTTTGATGGAGTAGCAGCATACTCGAAGGTCTGTTCTTCATTTTCACCTGAGACTGTATCTTTTTTTTCTTATCAGAGTGTGATGGGAAGGTGGAAATATTAGGGAATTGGTTTGATTGTCGTTGTTCCTTTACAGAGAGTTTTTCTTCTTTTTTAACAGTCGTTCTCTGATCCGGTGTTTTATCGGCTATTGTAGAAAGCGGTTCGACAACAGGTCTTAGTATCCGTTTAATAGTTTCATTTTCCTGTTCACGACCCGATTTTAAATTTAAATACTTTTGTCTTACAACCTTTGATAATTTTATTAGTTTCTTTTTTACCAATTTATCTTTATCGCCAGTTGTAGTTTTCATCTTTCTGTTTTTCTTTTTTATAACCCTGTTTACGGTAAAACAGTCTGAGATAAAATGAGAGCTAAGGCGAAATCATAATGTATTTATCAAATCCGTAACGGTAACGCCCTTTGTTTAGGTCATTTTCTTTGACAATAACCAAAACACCATATTTATTTCGTTGCCAACATTTCATACATATATTTTTGAATTTATCAAACGACATATCGGTATTGACATGATCGTTATAGATATGTCGCAAATTTAAGTCGTCCTGTTTAAATAGAACTAAGAAATTGGCATTATCTCGAATCAGATGCTTCGGTATGCAAGTGTACGTTTGACAGAGATAGAAGCAATCGATGTTCTTATGTCGGCTCATGCTAAAATAATTTCTTATTTTATCTTGCTTCGAAGAGGCAATATCGTCGAAAATGAAGATCGAATTTTCCCTCGCCTCCGACGGATCAATTATTGTTTCATTATCGTCGTAGGGAAAGTAACCAACATCTTTAGTTTTTCTCATTACCTCTTTTAGTAGTTCATATTTGGGTTGGTACAACGATTTAGAATAAAGATAAATATTAGCAAATCTTAAACCGTTTGGATCGAAAAGCAAACTGAACATAATATTTGTCTTACCACACCCGCTCGGACCGCTTATTATCGCCCTTATTGAATTAGGCAGTAGAAGCGAATGATGATGAGATGATGATGATGAAATCCTCTCATCATATTGCGGGTCGAAATTAATGAGAGGCAGGGAAGTGGCCTGTTGTACAACTTTCATCGTAAGACTAATATATTTCACACCTTCTTCCTTCTTTTATATAAATAATAGTGTCGAGGGAAGAACTAAGTCAGTTTCAATGATAATTCACAGGGGAGAAGGTGTATTGAATACGTTAATTAACAAGCTTCCGTTTGAACTTCATTTACCAGGAGGATATCAGTATTGTGGGCCAGGCACTAAATTATCTAAACGTTTATTGCGCGACGATCCCGGAATCAATCCGCTCGACAAAGCTTGTAAAGAACACGATATTGCTTACTCTAAAAGTAATCACTTGTCAGATCGTCATATCGCAGATAAAATTTTAGAAGAGGAGGCTTGGAAACGTGTGAAAGCGAAAGATTCTACTATTGGCGAGAAAAGTTCAGCTTGGTTTGTTACTAACGCGATGAAAATCAAACGAAAAATTGGAATGGGATGCCGATTAAATAAGGAGAATACGGAAAACAAGAAGAGGAAGAAGACGAAGAAGAGCGGAAGAGGGGTAACTAAAATAAAGCAGCGCAAACAAGCTTTTCGTAAAGCGATAGTGAATAAAGTTTCCGATACAATAAAAAAATTCAATAATCCTTATGATATTAAAGCACTATCTGCTCATGCTGTTAAAGCAGCAAGACAATATGTAAAAGAAGCGGGTGGAAGAAAGAAAATTCGAGTACCGCGTATTATTCCACTACCTAAAACGGGAGGATTTCTACCGTTGATTCCTGCCGTTCTAGCGGGAATATCTGCAATCGGTGGAATTAGTGGCGGCGTGGCCAATATTGTTAAAGCAGTTAACGATGCGAAAGCAGCTAGGAAACAACTTGACGAAGCTAAACGGCATAATCAAACGATAGAAGCCATAGCTCTCGGAAGAAAAGGAAGCGGCCTCTATTTGAAACCACACAAATCCGGTATGGGTTTGTATTTAAAAAAAAAAAATTTCCATTAATCCTTCCTTCTCGCGCACTAACTAATGACGAAGTTAATATGTACGCGCGAAAATTAAAAATTCCTTACTTCCGCGGTGTATTCATGAGAGACGCTTTACCGCTTAGCGGCGCAAGAAAATACGAAAGTGGCGTAATCAATTTAGACGAAAGTAGTAATCCGGGTACACATTTCTGCTGTTACATAAAACGGAACAAAAATATTGATTATTTTGACAGTTTTGGCAATCTAAAACCACCACCAGAACTGATAAGATATTGGCAACACTCATCATCGTCAACTCCCAATCAAATTAATTATAACTTCGAGTCTTATTAGACGTACAATACATACAATTGCGGTCATTTGTGTCTGGAATTTCTCTATAAAAAACCGCTTCCTAATTATTTCGGATTAGTCATGTCGCAAACGTTCACTTTGACAGGTATAAGCAGCGTTTTTACGGTAGATTTTTATCCTCCGATAGAGTTAGATAATCGTTACGAGTATTCGGTTGTCCTTATCGGCTTTCACACATACAACAGCATTCCAAATATTCAAGAGGGTGTCAACAATAAATTCTACTACTTCATCAATCTGGGAGAAGAGATCGTTATCAGTTTACCGACAGGATCGATCGAAATTTCCGATATCGAGAGTTACCTACAGTCTCAAATTCTGCCTTCAGATATAATTTTAAAACCTAATAATACTCTAAAATCTGAACTGAAGTGTAAATATAAAGTTAACTTTAATCATAAGGACAGTATAGGAAATCAATTAGGGGTTTCCCCGCGAATTTTAGAAGAAAACACTTTACATCAGTCCGATTTACCTGTAAATATAATCCAGGTGTCTACAATTCGTATCGAGTGCAATATAGTCAGTGGCTCATCCTGTAACGCATCACCTTGTCACGCAGTATACGAATTCACACCTGCAGTTGATCCAGGTCATTCCATAAATATTGAATCGAAAAACTTGAATTATTTTTACCGATCGATAACCATCGAGCGATTAGTAATATTACAATAAAGATAGTCGATCAAAAGTCACAGCTTATTAACTTTCGCGGAGAAGAAATCGTTGTTCGATTGGAATTGAAGAAGCAACATGGGGTTGGTATTTATTAACAACGAAGCCGTTACATATCCAATTAACAATAAAAATAGGGGGGAAGGTCTACATAAATCTACGGTTATTAACAGTAATCAAACATTCGGTACTCGACCATCGATTAAGAGACAACATTGTTCTTCCACATATAATCATCTTTCACCTGTTAATCGGCAATTCCTAGAAAGCATAGGACTGACGGTAATAGACGGAAAACGACAACGACGACGACAACGAAATGGAAACTAGTAAACTTCAATTATTTACCAGTCCTGTCTATGACGAATCTATTACAAAAGAAGAAATACACACGTATCCGACAGAAACAAAAGCATACGGCAACAGCGACGAATGTGAGATAAATATTAATCAGCAAGATGCATTTTTGGACTTGAGTGAAGCAGCCATTATTGTAGAGGG